CCCTGACATCCAACCTCAATCTCCCCTCCCTCAACTACAAACCGTTTCCCCTCATCCCGCTGTTATCATCCTTTCAAAGAGTTGATTCCCCTCCTGTTTTGTAGGCTCCCTTTAGGTGCTGAAGGCTGCAATGATTCACCCCGCAGCCTTCTTTTCTCCAGGCTGAACAAGCCCAGCTCCCTCAGCCTGCCTTCACAGGGGAGGTGCTGCAGCCCCCTGCTCATCTTCGTGGCTCTCCTCTGGACCCTCTCCAACAGCTCCCTGTCTTTCTTGTAAGGGGGGCTCCAGCCCTGGACGCAGTGCTGCAGATGGGGCCTCACAAGAGCAGAGCAGAGGGGAACAATCACCTCCCTGTCCCTGTCCCTGTCCCATGAGCCAGCAGCGTCACCTCACGGCCGAGATGGTTCACCATACCTGATCTTTTCACACCCTCCCCAACTCTCTCCAATCCTGCTTTCTGTGTCTGACTTCCCCCCAGAACAGCAGAGGCGGCCCAGGCTGAGTGCTGCTCCTTCACTCCAGGCTGAAATGCTCACTGCTCAGGAGAAAGTGTGAGTGCTCTTATGTGCTTTTTTCATTATTTTTTATCCTTATATTAAGCTTAGCTGAGCATTTTCAGAAGCAAAGCATGACTCTACAGAAACATCAAGAGTACAGAAACATGAAGTTCACTCTCTTAAAAGCCACTGTTGAAAGCAGTGCGCATTCTGGGCAAAGGAAGGCCAAGGCGTGTGATTCCCCAAGTAGATGGACAGCATTTCCCCAAGAAGATGATCAGAAGTTTGCCCAATTCCCCAACAGTTAGATCCTCCCAGAAGTCACCATTTCTTCCCAATTACAAAAGCAATTCTGTCCGTGAGGCGACAATGGGAAAGGTCAACTGTTTCTAGTGAAGAATCGTCTAAGCAGAAGCAAAAACAGCACTCGCAATTGTCCATATGGAAACCCAAACATGGCACACCGAAGGAAAAATAGAACAGCCAGCACTGCTATCACTATGTAGATTGCCCTGTTGCTCCTGGTGTCCTGCTCCTGGGAGCCACCTCCAAAGCACCCACCCTGGGGATGAGAAACAGAACTTGTTGGGACCCTTCAAAGACTGATGTACACTCACAGCATGACTGCGCACATGCTGTGCTGCTCCATACCTCGGAATAAGATTCCTTCTTCCCCTCATCCGGCCACAGTCTCTTTCGCAGACGAAGAGCTTCCTCTTCAGAGCGGCGAGCCCGGTTCTCCATCCTCTGCAATTCTTCTGCCGCCCTCTGCCTCTCAGCCTCCCACTCCTGCTCAGCCTGCTCATATCCACAAATCCGATCCTCCATCTGCCGCAGTCTTTCCGCCTC